AGCAGTTGCTTAATAAAGATTGGTGGAGGTGATTTAACTTGATTATTTTAAAATCACTAGAGGAAAACCTGTAGCAATTTTTTTTTAACTTAAGGTACTTAGCTGTATAATTCTTTTGGCAACTAAATCAAGTTCTTTTCTGTAAACATTTGGGGGTGGGGGATCTTTGAAAATGAGTAAGCTGAATGGGTCTAGTACCAGCCTTTAAGACTTAGGTTTCTGTACGAAGAGCTAGTTTAGTGTTCTGTCCACAGGGCTTATTAATACAGTACTTTGTCTTTAGTAACTTAGTATTAGTTATTAGCAATGCTATCATGCTTTGCTCCACCAGCCAAGAGAGTTGTTTTTAAAAGCTTTATTTCTAGCTGGGCTCGGTGGCTCAACCTGTAATCCTGCACCTTGGGAGGCTGAGGTGAGTGGATTGCCTGAGCCTACGGGTTCAAGACCCTCCTGGGCAACTTGGCGAGACCTCATCTCTACAATAAGTCACAAATTAGCCGGGAGTGGTAGAGTGCACCTGTAGTTCCGGCTACTTGGAAAGCTGAGGCAGAAGGATCGCTGGAGCCCAGCAGGTCGAGGCTGCGGTGGCCAAGAGCGGCTGCTACACTCCAGTCTGGGCGACAGTGAGACTCCAACTCAAAAAAAAAAAAAAAGTTTTATTTCTGTATGTTGTAGTGTTAAAACAATAGGGTTTTGGTTTTTTTTTTTTTCAGATTTTAGTTGAAAAATTATATTGTGCTAGTGAATATAGTTTTTCAAATTACATATAGACACGACCTACTGTTCCCTGGAGCTTCTCATTCTAGGGGGACACCCCTAATTGATAACCATTGCCCAAATCCTTTCCAAAGATCTCTGGCCTTTTCACTGTGTGATCTGTCTCTCTGGGTCTGCCTATGGCTGCAGTAGCGGTAAGAGAAGCTCTCAGGTGAGAGTCTTAGCCTCTGATGTTATCTTTTTTTTTCTGGGTGCATTTGAGTTAAGTGCCCCCACCCCTGCCCCAACATCATGTGAGGATTTTGTTTTCCTTCTTATATTGTAATATCCTGGAAGAAAAAGCCTCTGTCTTTCTTATCTACCTATGAGGTTAGAATATGGTTTGTGACTTAACATATGTTCAAAAAGTAATGGAAAATATTTTTTGAACCTACCTCTCTCTAATCTGCCCTGACTGGATTAATCTTTATTGAAAGCATTTGCTTTACATAGTTTCTCTTTCAGTTTCTCTCACTCTTACTCTCATTCTTTGTCTCTGCTTACTTTTCCAGAAGGTGCACATTCCTCCTTGTTCATTTTTAAGCAGCTTCCAAAGCTGCTGTTGATGCCTGAAGCTGCTTTGGAGGCAGAAAACCAACAGTGAGATCAAGAATTGTAAGAATTCAAGTATATAAAGAAAGGTTGCTGATCATTCAAGTATATAAAGAGAGGTGTTTAAGATGGTCCAGGAAGTTGGTATGGGAGAACAAGGTGGGAGGCACTTGTCCTACCAGAAAGCAAGACTTATTCTGAAACCGCAATAATAAGATAATGGTGGTGATAGACAGAGTTAAATGGAACAGTAGTGGATAGACTAGAGAACCTAGAATTTTGTGCACACATATAGGGAAACCTAAGACATGGCAAAGATGGCATCGCAGATCAGTGGAGGAAAAAGAGAGATTGTGTGAGAAATGGTTCTAGAAAACTGATTATTCGTTTGGGAAAAAAATTAATTGGATCCTTACTCCTCAACAAATTTTGAGAATCAGTTTGCAGATTGAGGACTTAAATGTGAGGGACACAACTCTTAAACATTTATTTAAAAATGTATAAAATTATAATCCTAGTGTGGGACAGAATTTTCATAAATAAAACAAAAATACAAACTGTAAAAGAAAATACTGATAAATTTAGCCTTATTAAGTTTAAGAACTTCTCTTCATCAAAAGACACCATAGAGTAAACAGATGAGCCACAGAGTGGGAGAAGATATTTATAACTTACATTATCAACAAAGAATTTGTATCCAGAATGCTTCATTTTTCTAAGCTAAACAGGTTTACTTCTTCTTCTATGTAATCTCATATCTATAATCACCAACCATTAGAATTATCTTTGAACCTCAAGCCCTGTCTGAAGCTGATTGATCCTGCAAATTTAGTATTAAAGTGAATCATTACAGAACGTTTTCTGAGTTACTAAGCCTCCATGAAATCAGGCTGTCATCTGTAAAATCCACTTCAATTCAAAACTTGAGGATCAAGCCACCTCTTTTAAGGAAACACAATAGAAGGATATGCCTTTCTAGTACTCTGCTGTTTCTGTACTGTTTGGTAGTATCTCCATAACAATATTTCAGTAACATTCAAATTCACGTGTTTCTTTCATCAAGCTACAGTTAGGAGATTAGGAGAAATGCTGATGGGCATCTAAAAGTGAAAAAGTTATTAGTTACAGCTGCATGTTTAATTTTTAGTTCATAATATATAATACCTATTGGTTATCCATTTGTTAGAGAGTTCTTATTTTCTGTTTTGGAGAAGAAGATTAGAACTCTAGACTTTTCACATGCAAAAATTGTGTTTTTAACAATAGTCAACTGACTTTTCTGGTACACTTTAAGGTGCTTTTTCCCCCCCATCTGTGTTAGTTGAAATCAAACTGTAGCAAGGGAAAAAAGACCAAAATGTTTCTTTATTTTTTTTTCCTAGAAATAAAAGTTTTAATTACTTATCAAGAGAATAAATAACCAAAAACATTACCTTCATAGTTTCAGAAAATGAACCACTGATACTGGTGGCCTAGTGTAATTGTAGCATATCTGGTACATACCTGCTCTTTCAGGATTTTGACTCCTTGAAGGCAATAGCCAAGTCTTTTATATTTATCAGTCATAGTTTCATGTTTTTGTTTCTTCCTCTGACCAATCTGGCAATAAGACAATCTGAAGAATTTTGGTAATAGAGGTAGATAGGATGACACAGAAAGTTTCCAGAGAGTTAAAAAGCTTCATAGAGATCAGTGATTATAATATTTTAGGCAGAAACTATAGAAAAGTATTTTGTAAAGTTGCATTGCGAAATAGTTTAGTTTTTGGTTGAGGAGGGGCAAGCAAATGAACTGTATGTACACTCAGTGATACTATGTAGTTACCCTATATGGGGGGGGGACCCAAGAAAGAAACTGGAATTAATTTTTGGAAGGCAGGTACCTTGTAGTACTTCCCCCACTAGGTAAGTTAGGGACCCATTGGCATCAGTGTATACCAGCTAGCATTATGAGAGGCTGCATTCAGCTTCAGTGAATTTTTTTGGGGGGAAGTTCTTTCAACGCCTTTGCCTATTTCATGACAGGTAATTTACAAACACATGTGCCCACACCAGGCTGAGTGTTCAGCAGTTTTTGACCAAAAACGGCATGACCCGCGCACCCACCCCACCCTCCCTATTCATGGATCTCACCCTGAATGATTTTCTTGTTTGTTTTCCTGATGGAAAAAATCCTCAAAACAAACATTTGCCTGATGTGGAATAGATGAAACAAAAAAATGGCAGCACTAAAAGGCATCAAAATTGATGAGTTCAAAAACTGTTTTGAGCACTGGAAAAAGTATCGAGATAGGTGTATTTCATCAAACGGAGGGTATTTTGAAGGTGACTGAAGTTTAAACATGAATAATACAAGAATAAATACAAAACTTTTTATAAATAAATTCCAGGGGTTTTTGGGTCCCCCCTCATAAGCCATAGTAATACTATATGGTCTTTATGTATAAGTCCTGGAAATAAGCTTGAACTTTGTTCTCCTATTAATCATAGGACCTGTATAATGAATTATGGATTGTCCAGGAATTAGTTCCAAGATGGATTCCCTTTATTCTGAATTCTTTGTGGTAGAGTTATTGGAAAAGAGGAAATATTCAGGAGTGCTGTCTTGTGACCAGAGGAGGACAGAGGTTTATTTTGTCAGCAGTGCTGGTACTCAAGTGGTCCTGAACAGGAGACTAACACACTTTGTGGTCTTCAGATCATCTTCCTCAATTTTTACAAATGAGGACATCAGACTTATTTTTTCCTGTTAGTAGAAAGCTGAATGATCTAATTTAATGAGGACAAAAGGTATAACTTAATGGATACCATGTTCTTTTTTTTTTGAGTTGGAGTCTCACTCTGCCGCCCAGACTGGAGTGCAGTGGCTGCTCCCGGCCACCACAACCTCGACCTGCTGGGCTCCGGCGATCCTTCCACCTCAGCCTTCCAAGTAGCTGGAACTACAGGCATGCGCCACCACGCCCAGCT